CCCGCACGCCACCCCCCAGCTCCCTGTCTGCCCTCGCGGCCACGGAGCCAGCGACTCTGTCCTCACTTGGGAATAAACAGCTCTTCATTTTGTTATCACACTAGAAAGTGAGTTTCTCCGGGTAACCAGCAAAGCTGCTGCCAAAAGGAAGAAAGGGCAAGAGAAGATTTATTTAAAGACCATAAACACAGGCAGCAGCAGCCCAGCAGTAAAGGAGCAGGATGATATGCTAGCAGAGGCTTCCCAGCAGCACCAGTGCCGTGCAGGGCTGGATCCCCGGGACGGCACTGGTCGGGTGGCATGCTCCACCTTGGTTTGCACTATTTGAAGAGGAAGTTTGTTCAACAACCAACTTCTTGTTTTATAGCTCATAAAATCCAAACAGGGTCCGTCACCAGGTCTTGGCTGCAAACAAGGTGCCTCAGCACTTGTTGGAGGCTGGTAGGAAGGCCTGAAGAACCACTCTCAGGTGGAACAGGCTGCTCTTTGGAAATGACTGTACAGCATTTAAAAAAAGCAAACAGCCAGATAATTTAAACAAACCTAATGATTTTGACTGATATTGATAAGTAGATGCATCTTTTCAACTTGATATAAGTTAGGTGTAAGTCTGTTTTACCATCTTCTTGCCATCCCTTGCCTCAGGGAGCAACAGCTGCTGCTGGTTTCTCTTGCCGAATGGTGAACGTGGCCTGGGACTTACCTTTGCTGCCAATGACATCAGCTGTAAGTCCCCAGGAACTTGGATGCATGGAGGTGGCCAGGCAGGTTTTAAAATTGTCATATCAGAGATCAAAGGTCAACAAAGATATTTGCCCCAAATGATGCCGTTGGTCTAATTGTATTAATAGCTATTACTTCTTTGCTGTGTGCAAGCAGACATTTCAAAATGTTGGGTTTTTGCTACATTTTATGGTTTTGCATTTTATTAGACTAATTTGAAAGATTCAAAACGATGAATAAATTGCCACTCTTTTTGCTTTATCTGCTGTTGCAGCCTATGCCCAACAGATGTCACATATGAAATTCAAATTACATCTTCAAATGGAGCATGACTTAGTAATGAATAATTCAAGACATATACTGAAAAATAGAATGCTGTTTTTAAACAGTGTGTTTCTTAGCACAGATAGCATCAGTGGAAAAATACTCACCTATTTATCTGACCATTTTCCACCTCTGTGAAATCATTTGAATCATTGCTGATGTTATCATCTTCAGGGACGGTCATATTCTGCAATTCAGTCAGTTCTAATCCAGCTTTGAATGGCATTCTGGGTGAGGAACTGTACCTATCCAAGTGTTTCTCCAAATATTAGTGTTTGGTTGGTATCTTGTTTGTAAACTGCACCTACAGTGTCAGCAACCTAAACAAAACACAATAAAAAAACAACCAAGATGTATATCACCAACAGCAGGCAATATCACCAGAAGAGACCAGTGAAACTTGGACAACAGGGACCATCCTTACCATACAATTCTGTATTGTTAGAAGGACCTCAGGTTATAACCTAAATGCATTGCAAGACACTAGTAACTTTATATGCCTTAATGAGATCAACCTCACTAACCTTACAAATTTACCTGGTCCTGCAACCAACTGCTGAAGACAGTACCCATATTTATAAACTAGTGAGGAGCAAACCAATCCTATTTGCTTCAGGAAAAAACATTAAGCACCCTGAAATTAAGGAATAAAAATGATCTGCTTGTCCAAGTCCTATTTCTATATTCAGTGTTTGTCTTCTGTATATTCTCTATTCTTACTTAAAAATATAAAATGTATTGTGTCTTTGCTGTTGTTAGGTGGATGAAAGAGAGGGATAGAGATATCCCAGTACTCTGTTCCACTAATATCTCTACTCCAGGTATTTGAATATGTTAAGGGTTTATTTCATAAAGAAGCTGTGCAGAGGATGCTTTGTGTATGGTTAAACTTACTCTGAACAAGGACAAGAAACAGATAAAACCAAATCCCTAATCTCACGTATCATAGGAAGAAAGAGTAATGTGCATCTTGTGTCAAGCAGTTATCATCTAGAGATCAGGTGATCTCTCCTCTAATAGATGTGCTTCATAAAAGCACCACGAGTAACACCAAAGGCAGATCAGACAAGCCTGCTACAGTGACATATTTCCTCATCAGCAATGCAAATCAACTGAAAGATCAATGTTTTCCAGAGTCCAACCACTCTCAGCTGAGCTACAACTCCAGCGTGGTGCTGAGGCGAAGGATGTTATTCACAAAAGAGCTCTCACACCACAACTCTCTCAATTCCAGTTTTGTGAATGAATTTCCTGTACTATTGCCAAACAACCATTCACCCTGGGGTACGTGGCGAACACTCAGATGCCAGATTAATTTGGGGATGTTTCCCAATTCTTGGGGCTACCTCAAATCCACCAAACTGCTCTCACGCAACCGAAGCAGCAGGAGAATCCCCAGCTCTTGCTGGCCGCTATGGCAAGGCAGGGGGACGTAGTTCACTTGTTCGTTATGACATCTGCCTGTTTCAAATTAAGTTCACATGACCCAGTACTTCTGGTTTATACCACATCCCCACCATGCTGAAAAGGGCTTTGCAAATGAGCTGGGTTTTCTTCCCCTCTAAATACTTTCTCAGAAATGTAATTTTAAAGTCTACGTGTGCCTTTGACATTTCTTGAAGAGCCCAAATGGTCCAAATTTCAGATGCAAAGGTGAGCATCACAGATTTCAGTGGGGCAGGACCTGCTCTTTGCTCCTGAAGGAGAAACTAAGCACACGGTTATGGTGGCAGACAGGGCCTGGTACAGCCTGATGCAAGGGTAGTGCTGGGGGTATGTGAGCTGAGTCCTTTTCAACTCCTCTACAGAAGAGATTTCCACTATATATACCAGGGGAGCAACTACTTGCATATTAAAATGTTGGCACAATAAAAGAATAAGTGAATTTAGGTTGCTGACTGGCAAACGGAGGGTGGTTTTAGCAGTGACATTCTGGAACAATCTTCCCAGAGGCTGCAGGGATAAAATAGTCTACCTATTTTGGAAAGCATGATCTTTTTATAAAGGGATAAAGCCACAGGAGACGGCAACTGCTGAGGTGGCAAGGACCGAGCCCTTTGAATCCTGAAGCTTCTTGTGACTGTGAATTCCTAAAATAAAAAATTCCTTAATAGATCCAACAACCCCTGTACTGAGATCCGTGTCCCATGGCATTTAAAAACCTAAGATTCAAGCTCTTTGGGTGGAGTTTTGCATCATGGTCCCCCATGAGGATTTTCAGAACTGCCTTACATTGTCTGTGCTCAATAATTTCCCTGTTCAGTGTTTCAAAAGCAGGTGATGAAATGAGCCTCCCCGTAAACAGCGTGGTTGAGAGCAGACTTCATAGCTCACTGATGTGCAGCTTCTGCTTTGCTGCTCTGCCCCTCTCTAGCTGAAATGCTACAAGGCTGGACTGGCAGGAAAACAGCGTGCTGGTTTATTCACAAGGGATCTTTGCAAAAGTGACAGCCTTTTGTTTTGTTTTGTTTTGTTTTGTTTTGTTTTGTTTTGTTTTGTTTTGTTTTGCTTTAAAACTCTGATTCTACAGAAAAATGATTGAATGAAAACAGAGCAAAATCTCAGTACAAGTAGTGCTAGCTGAAGCAGCAGCAATCATTTCAGCATATCCCAGGTTTCAGGCATAAGAGTTGCTCTTGAAGCAGCATGACACCAGGCACATCTTTAAATCTTGCTAGGTGAAGTGCTTTACTGAAAAAAAAACCACCAAAACAAAATCCTGAAACTTAAGCAATTATTGAGTGAAATAATGCATTGCACTTCCAAGTATGACAAAATCTGATCTCAGCGCCAAAACACAAGGAAAGTGAAGAGAGAGGAGGGGGCTGGGGACCGAAACTTTCACTGTCACAGCATGAACTCATCATAAATCTTTGGCAAAGGATAACCATCTTGTCCTTAGCACCTCCATCTGTAAAATTAAGATGGCGATAGCAACATTAACACTCAGTTTGTGAAGCGTTTACAGATTCAGAGGGAAAGGTTGATATGTGTGATACCTGAAACAAACAAACAAACAAACAAACAAAACAAAACAATACGCAAACGGCAAATTTTTGCAAACATAACTTTACCTGAGATATATAAAGAGCATACATTTTGTCACTGCTAATCACTCTAGGCACCCTCCATAGTCAGTAGAGTGCAGGTGGTCACATCAATTTCACCCCCAAATGACCTATTTTAAATTTCAAGTTCATGGGTGCAACAAATCGCAGAGTCTGAATAAAATCTCCAGTCTCAAAGGGTAGGGTTCATGTCAGCCAGTTGTATTCCCTACAAGTTAGCGTCTGCCCCAGGCTCATCACTTGGCCTCTACAGTGGAGCCTGGTGCTGCCAGAGGCCAATCTGCCCCAGTCCATGGGAGGGATTTGCAGCCACGCTTGAGCTGCGCCCTGCAAATACAGTAGCTTTGCTCCCAAAGGGAGCATCCACACTGGGACAGCCAAGCTAAGCACGTCTCCACCTCAAGTGTAGGTGCCAATAATGCTGTGGGAAGGAACAAAAAGAAATTGCTTCAACTAATAAAAATTCCCCTTGTATTGATGCTGAGCTATATTGAAAGCAGCATGGTAATATTTGTGCTTTTAAGGCCTTTTCATTCAAGAAATGTCATGAAATAAATGCAAATAAAAATGCTATGTTGGCAAAAGTTCCTAGTCTGAGCTTTATTTCTAATTCACATTGAAAGACAGTAAATAGTCATCTGGAGAGCGCCTGTAGCAATCCCAGTCACTTCCAGTCATCATGCCTACTACATTACCCAGCCTTAAATCTCCCAGAAAGAAAACTTCCAGAGACTTGCTATCAAACCTCTCTAGACACACATGTAATAAGTCAACAAGAAGAAATAAGAATTTTGCTCTTACTCCAAACTTTTCCACCTGGATGGCTAAACACTCCTTTCTGAAGCAGGGATCACCCTGAGAGAACACTAAGAGCTAATGACCCTTCTAAAGGAACCTCAGACCTCTGTGTTTGGTAGCTGATCCAACCTCTCTTTTTAGTAGAAAAAGCACTACTCTGGCCTAGGAGCTTGGCTTTCTCTTTAAACATACCATGACATGTCTTGTAAAACCCATTATGGATAATTTATTCATCATGTGTTCCTTTTAGAATATGGGAAAGATTACAAGTGGTCACAAACTTCAGAAGGAAGACTGTGAGATGACACAAGAAGATAAAATGAGTTTATTTTTCTCAGGGACACTGAGACCTTCACAAACCATGAAAATACATTCCAGGAACTAAGGTCATTTTCTCTGTTGCCTTCTGAAACATCCAAAAAAAAAAAAAATCTCCTGTAAGTCCAGTTTTCTGGAGTGTTAAAATTCAAAAAGTTTGTATCTGAAAAAAACGGTAGTACAGACAATCTAACTTTCTTTTTTTCTGCTGGCTCAAGCATGAATCCTTTCCAGATGGTACCTGGAAGATGTGCAATCTCAGAAAATGTTTTGCTAAAAGTTGTGTTTTTAACCACAACATCATCACTCCTGGTAGTAATAGTAATTGTTTAATTCACAGGCCTTTTTTTTTTTTTTTCATATCCTGTAAATGACATCATTCAAAAAGTGCCATCTTAAGGCACAGGGCTGCCAAAAGCTGACCCACTATGTGAGAGGCATTTGGGTAAGTGGTTGGGTTGGACACCATCTCGCTGGTCTCTGTGTATGGTTTTGTCATGCGCCCTTGCACACTCACTGGCACTTTATTCACTGAGCGCTCCTCACAGTCAAACAGTCTTGGGGATGGCAAATATCCAAGACATACAAGCAATATGCTAAGCAATTTTAACTATTGAATTCAAGATAATTTGCTTAAAAGCTGAAATATGACTCAACTTTCTTCTCCAAAGAGAGTTTTGCCAAGAACTCGTCTTGTTTGGTTACGAGTCATCAGAATCCAGCTCTTGAGTTTCACACGAGCTGGTTTTATTTCTGCAAAGCCTGAGATGTGATACATCTTTCTTTGCTCATACTTTTCAAAGTTCTTTTAAAGAAGAACAGTATGACCGTAAGGCACCGTGGATATAAATAATGAAACACTGAGCCTGAAACTCTGTGTACGGACTATTCACTTAGATGACAAAAAGCAATAATAGGCTGTATATGTAACCGTATCACGCTGAGAGGTGGGGAAGCAGCTATCTCCCTTTTGTTCGGCATTACTGACACCTGACGTGGAAAATAAAGCTCCTGATTTACTCCTCATCTACAGGAAGGACAA